TGCTGCTGCTGCTGCTGCTGCTGCTGGCCCCCCGCCTGCCCAAGGCTGCAGCGGGGCCCCCAGGACGCCCATGGGGAGGCTGCAGGCGCCGGAGAGTTGCTGCTGCTGCTGCAGCTGCTGCAGCTGCTGCAGCTGCTGCTGCTGCAGCGCATAGTGCTGCTGCTGCGGCTGCATCTTGACTGCGCAGCAGTAAGCCAAAACCTGCAGCAAACTGCTGCTGCAACTACTGCTGCTGCTGCTGCTGCGGCTGCTGGATCTGCAGCAGCAGCAGCAGCAAGTCAGCGCTATAGCCCAAACGACTTCTTAAAATAAATTGCAGCAGTCAATAAGTTGTCTTTAAAAATGTGGCAGCAGCAGCAGTGCAGCCAGCAGCAGCAGCAGCAGCTGCTGCTGCGCCACATGCACAGGACCCTACGGTAGGCCCTGCCGCTGCTGCTGCTGCTGCTGCTGCTGCTGCTGTTGCTGCTGCAGCTGTGTTGCCTTGTATCTGTTCTCCAGGCAATTCGCTCGAAGATCAGAAGCAGCTGAGCTCGAACAGCAGCAGCAGCAGCAGCAGCTGGCTGGGGGGGCCCCGCAGCCGCAGCCGCCGCCGCCTCAGCAGCAGCAGCAGCAGCAGCAGCAGCAGCGGGAGCTTGAGACGCTGCAGCAGCAGCAGCAGGCGCTTCCAAATCGATCTTTTATTCAATTTTAATATAACTTTTAATTTGATTTAATTAATTCAATTTAATTTATTCAATTTAATTGCTTCTAAGGCCCTGCAGCGCTGCTGCTTTCCCTCTCTCTGCTGCTGGTGCTGCTGCATGGGTAAAAGCGCGAAAAGTCGATTTTTGTGTTTTTACTTTTTTGAAAAGCTTTTTGGCCTCCAATCAATAAAAATATAGATCAAAATTGAATTCAAATTTAAATTTGAATTCAAATAAATATAAAAGTGAAAGAAGCAAAAAAGGAACAGAAGAAAAGAACCTGATTCGGGAGTTATTCTTTGCCATTTTTCGCCATTTTCTCGTTTATGATTTCATTTATTTATCATTTATTTATTTAAAACATTTTAAATTATTAAATTGCGTTTTTGCGTTTAAATTCCCTATTTGATTTTCCGCCGTTTTTGCAATTCAACTTCGCGCGTTCAAGTGTACAGCTTCCGTCGAAGCGCGCAGAAGCACAAAACGTGCAAATGTTGATGAAAAATTGCCAAACAAACGCCAAACAAACGCAAAAACGACGAGCAGACAAGAAGTAACAATCAATAAACGAATTAAAAGCAAAAAAGAATTAAAAATAAAAAATAAAAAATGCAACGAGCCGCACCGCCCGCGAGAACTGTCTAGACACCTCAGGGCGCAGTGTTCATCTTCCACCTCCACAGACACTTCAGAAGGGAAAACGCCAAAAATGAAATAAATAAACGACAAGTAATAATAAATAATCATAAGTAATCATAAATAATCATAAATAATCATAAGTAATCATAAAGAATAACAAGTAATGACAAAAACTGCATCTAAAATGACTTTTTTCCACAAATTCATGAAAGATTTCACTTGCATGTGTGCACTTCACAGGAAAATTTGAAAAGTTCAAAAAGGCATTTTTGTAAAATTAAAAATAAAAATAAGAATATAAAATTACTTTTAAACAAATAACAGTAAATGAAAAACGAAACAGCAAATTGTATTTTTCATTTTGGTCATTTACTTCAAAGCTGTCTATTTACTGAAGTTTATTTAGAACCAGTTTGTTCCCATTCCTTTGAAGTTGCTGCTGCTGCTGCTGCTGCTGTTGCTGCTGCTGCTGCTGCTGCGGCTCAAATAAATAGAATTTACTTCTGATGGATTTCCTAGGCCTTTTATTTGCAAGAAGAAATATAAATTGCAGCTGCAACAAGTGTTACTCTGTTGCTGCCTTTAGTTCGGTTGCAGCAGCAGCAGCAGCAGCTGTTGGAGTAGCAGCAAAGGCAGAAGCAGCAGGAGCAGCTATAGAAGCAGGAGCAATAGAGAAAGCAGCAGCAGCAACAGCTATAAAAGCAGAAGCATCAGCAGCAACAATTAACGCAGCCATGACTGCAGCAGCAATAGCAGCAGTACCAGCAACAGCAGCAGCAAAAAAAGCTTAAACAGTAGCAGCAAAGAAGCTGCGCCAGAAACAGCAGCAACAGCAGCAGAAGCCGCAGCAGCAGCAGCAGCGCAAGTTGCATATCTGCAAATTCAGCTCTACTTCTCCCGACAGCAAACAAGGGGTAAAGAAATAAAATAAATAAACTAAATAAATAAATAAAAAAATAAAATAAAGAATAAATAAATAAATAATAATTAATTAAACTCCTAAGCAATAAAAGGAGAAGTCCTGTGGGGCCAGTGAGCCTCGAGGCAGCGCCGCAGGAGGGCGAGCTCAAAACTGTCCCCTTCTGCTGCTGCTGCTGCTGCTGCTGCTGCTGCTGCTGCTGCTGTTTTCTGTGTCTCCTTTGTCTCCAAAACGAGGGCCTTAACAGCAAATATCAACCCCAAGCTTGTGGCCTTGCTGCTGCTGCTGCTGCACTCCTCATAAACGCCTGCGAGGCACACAAACGCCCACACCCGCTGCTGCTGCTGCTGCTGCTGCTGTTGCTGCTGCTGTTGCTGCTGCTGCTGCTGAAAGCACTGCAGCAGCAAATCGGCATCCTTACTTCTGAAAAAACGTTTTAGCTTGGTTTTAAATTCCGTTGAAATCTGCAGACAAAAACCCAGCCCTAAATTCTAAACCCTAAGCCCCAAGCCCTAAACCCTAAACCCCACACTCGAAACCCTAAACCCTAAACCCTAAGCCCTAAACCCTAGATTCTTGAAATCCTTGCGCATTTGGATCCTTTTAAAGGCTTTCGGACTTCAGTTTGGCTTCCGCTCTAGAGCTAGGGTTTAGGGTTTCAGCAAGCGCTTAGGGTTTGCATTCTAGGGTTTAGGGTTTGCATTTTAGGGTTTAGGGTTTAGGGTTTAGCGTACGCTGTTGAAGAGCATGATGGTGTGGGGCTTTGCTGCAGCCCAAAAGGAGACAAAGGTGACAAAAACAAAAGTCTGGAGGAGACAGAAGACAGCAAACGCCGAGGGACTTTGCTGCAGCAGAGAAGCAGCAGCAGCAGCAGCAGCAGGAGCAGCAACAGCAGCTTCTGCTGCTGCTGCTGCTGCTGCTGCTGCTGCTTCTGTCTCCCAGGAACTCGCTTGGGAGAGGCTTCCTGATGCTTCGCCTGCTGCATCGCCTGCTGCATCGCCTGCTGCTGCTGCTGCTGCTGCTGCTGCCGCTTCTGGCTGCAGCAGCGCAGCAGCAGACGGCAGCGGGCTTAAGAAGAATGGCAGCAGATCTCCATCATTAAGAAGAGACAAAACCCAAGCAGTCGTGCTCACGTCTGTAGCAGCAGCAGCAGCAACAGCAGCAGCAAAGGCAAATGCAGCAGCAGCAGCAGCAACGGCACACGCAGTTGCAGCAGCAGCAAAGGTACATGCAACACTAGCAGCAGCAACAGCGGCAGCAAAGGTACGTGCAGCAGGAGAAGCAGCAACGACAGCAGCAAAGGTACACGCAGCAGCAGTAACAGCAAAGGTACATGCAGCAGCAGCAACAGCAGACGCATATGTATCTACAGCAGCAGCAGCAGCAAAAATGCCAGCAGCATCAATATCATCGTCGTCAGCAGCAGCAGAAGCAGCAACCTCAGAAGCAGCAGCAGCAGCGGCAGCAGCTTGAAAATCAGCAGCAGCAGCAACAAAGCAATTATCGTCAGCAGCAGCCGCAAAACAAGAATAACAATTTTCAGCTGCAGCAGCAGCTTCAGCAGCAGCACAGTTACCCACAGCAGAAACAGCATCAGCGGCATCATTATCCCCAGCAGCAGCAGCACAACTATCCACAGCAGCAGCAGCAGAAGCATACTTATCCACAGCAGCAGCGGCAGCAGC